ATGTTAGCTCAGAGCTGGTCTTCCTCAGCAAAAAGAGGAGGATTAGCATAGATGTTAGCTCAGGGCTGATCTTCCTCACAAAAAAAAAAAAAAAAAACCCTTTCATTTTGTACAACTCCTCAGAGCTCCTATCTGTTTGCTGGAGGGGATGCTGCCCAACTCATGAATCACTCAATAAAGCCAAATAGATCTTTAAATTTACTCAGTTGAATTTTTGTTCTTTAACAATACTCATGTATATAGTCTCCTCTACATTTTGCCTTTTTTTTTTTTCTGGTCTCAAAATATTCTTTGTCTCCTGTCCTAGCTCTACCAGTATTAATGTCTTTCTTTCATCTTTTTATGTTCTTTTGTTTTGTCCTTTTTGTTATTTTACTTGGGGAGTGTATCATTGTTTACGCATTATTAATCTTTTTTTGTAATATCCCATTCATGGCTTGATAATACATGCCTATTTATTTATTTATTCGTCTATTTGTTTATTTATGCATGCTGAGGAAGGTTAGCCCTGAGCTAACATCTGTGCCAATCTTCCTCTACTTTATATGTGGATTGCTGCCACAGTGTGGCTGACAAGTGATGTAGGTCGGCTCCCGGGATCCGAAACTGCAAACCCAGGCCACCGAAATGGAACATGCTGAACTTAACCACCATGCCATGGGGCCAGCCCCATACTTATTTATTTTAAAAGGAAATTCTATTCATCTACCCAACAAATATTTACTGAGCACCAACTATGTGTCTAGCACTATAGCTACAGTAAAGTTCATCTCACTCACAGAATTTACAGTCTACAGGTTGGAATAGGCAATGTGGATATATCCACTTCACCAGACTATAAAGAATAAGAAACAGTAGTAATATGAAGCAATAGTTAGCAAAGACCTTTTACAGGGCATAGGAAAATAAATACTTTAAATAGCATAATAAATCTAAGAAATATAAAAAGAAAAGAGCTCTCTTCTATTTTATGAGTTATATCAGAAATTTAGAATTAGAACAAAGAAAACATTTCCAAACCTCACATCCACTGTATTATTCGACTCATGGTCAAAGACTTCAAAAGCCTCTTTGATTTTTTTGTGAAATTCTGCAACTGCTATCTCTGTAAAAGACAATGTAAATAAAAATCATTTTACTTTAATTTGGAATTCAAAACAAAAATTTAAATAACTCAACTAGAAATTCTTAATAAGGAAGAACATGCTGAACTCTTTCCTAATCTTCTTAATGTATCATGTAGCATGTTGAACTTCTTCTGGAGACCTCAAAGAATCGAACAAACTTACTTTTTTTAACTCTTTTTTACTGAGGCATAATACACATCCAATATAATAGCAAAGGTGCAGCAATCTTAAGTCCACAGTGTCATGAGTTTTTATATATGTGCAGAGTCATGGAGCCACCACCCAGATCAAGACAAAGAACACCCCAGCACAGCCTGTCTTCTATCCAAGTAGTTGGGTGGAGTCCAAGCCTGAGAGGCAGAAGAAATCTAGTGCTACAGACACTGACTGCTGTTCACTAGTGTGCCCACCGCCTTGCTTTATTCTGCGCTCGAGGACTGACATGCAGGGTGGGAGGCATAGAAAGCAACATGTGACACTCCCTCAAAGAGCTTTCAAACTAGTTTGGAGACTAAGAATTACTTATATGAAACGACTAAAGTCATTTATTTAATAAATATTTATTGAGTACCTACTCTGTGTTATATGCAGTTCTAGGTGCTGAGGTTATAGCAAGGAACAAAATAGACAAAAATCCCTGTATCCATGGATCTATTTTTATTGGGAGAGATATATAAGCTTATACATATTTGGTAAAATATATAGTAAGTCAAATGGTGATGGAAAAAATAAAGCAGGGAAGGGACAGAAGGAGTGCTGGGGGTATGGGTGGGGAGAATGGGAAGGTATGGTGGTTTAGGAAGTCCTGTCCTAGTGATAGATCTGAAGGAGGGGAAAGAGCCAGACTTTTGAATATCTGCAGGCAAAGTTTCTAGGCAGAGAGAACAGCAAAAGCAGAATGGTAGTAAATAAGGTCAGAAAGGTGTGAGATTGGGTGGAGGATGGATGCTGTAAGGGCTCTGTAGGCTACTTGAAGCATTTTGTCTTTTACTTTGAATGAGACGAGAGACCACTAGAGAGTTCTAAGCAGTGAAGTGACATGGTCTGGCTTATATTCACTTCGGCTATTATGTTAAGAATACACTGGAAAGGGACAAGGGTGGAGGCAGACAGACCAGTTAGGAGGCTATTGCAATATTCTAGGTGAGAGACTGAGGGTGTCTTGGACCAGATGGCAGTAGTAGAGGTGGTAAGGAACGATAGCATTCTGTACATATTCTAAAGGGCAGAACGAACAAGACTGCTGATAGGTTTGATATTAGGTGCAGAGAGAAAGAAAGGGGGTGAGCTTGACTCCAAGGTATTTGGCTGAGTGGAAGAATAAAGGAAAAAAATGTAAACAAGTCTCAAAATTTGTTTTTCAAATAGTAAGTACAACAGGACACTCAGAAAGGGAGAGAGTAAGTATGAGTTTAGATTAGAATAATCTCATTTTTCACTCAACAATAAATTGTGAGCATCTTTCATTGTGAAAAAATATTTATTATATCATCATTTTTAATGACTGCTTGGTATTCCTTTATAGAACTTTATCATAATTTATTTAACCAACCCTCTAATTGTAGACATTTAGGTAGTCTCTAATTTTTCACTGTTCTAATAATTATTTAGTGAACAATCTTGCCCAGTTCCTCTTTGTGCATCTGTCTTATCTCATTGAAATACAATGAGCTGACTACAGCTAAATTTGCATGCGGTCTTGGGAAGTTTCTTATTAGTCATGTAGTACCTTTGAACAATCTCTCTGGTCATAACACTGCCACTGCAGAAAGCTGATGTTTGCTTTTTATATTTAAGATTACTTTTAAAGTATATTATGTTTATTTTTAGGTAATCCCATCTGTTAAGATTTCTTCTCATTTAAAATTTAGAAACTTATCCTTTGAAAGGACCAAGAAGGAAGGAGAAAATCATCCTTTTTCCAGAGGTTTGGTGAATACTCAATTCTATTTGCCTCTACAATTTAAAAATATATTTACATTTTAATCCATCTGAAATTTATTTTGATGTGATTCAAAGTGAAAGATTAATTTCTAATCTTAGCCTAGCAATTTCTAATTTATTAAGCACTTGATTTCCTTCCTCCTACTTTATAATGTGTTAGTCTTTTACGTGATGGAAACCACTTCTATTGATTCCATTCTGATTTGCATTTCTAGTCTTATGCTATTACCATACTATTTTACTTATTGTCACTGTATTGATCTTCTTTTTAGGAATGTTCATTAATAGTCTTACCAGTTTATTCTTCCAGATGAAATTTAGAAATCCATATTAAATTTAGAAATTCCAAATAAAATACCATTGGAGTTTTATGGCTATTACAATTAGGCTGTACATTGAGAAAAAATTAACATTTTAAAATATTTAGTTTTCACATCTAAGAGATATATGTTAATTATATACCCTTTATATCTCTAAATTAAATATTACATATTATAGTTTTCCTCATATAAGTAACACACAATTCTCTAAGAGGATTATGCCTGAGCATTTTATCCATTTTGTAGATATTGTGAGGGAACCTTTTTAAGCCCTGTAATTTCTGGTAGTTGAGGTAAATATTGATTTTTTTTTTATTTTGCTATTGATCTTATATTCATCTATTTCCTGAAAGTTTTTATTAGTTATAATCCTTTTTCAGTTGATTATTTTGTATTTTCTGATAACACATTTTCCTCTCTTCTTTCCAAAATTTATACTTCTTATTTCTCCTTCATGACTTATGGCACTGGCCACAACTACCAAAAACAACTTCAATCCATAAAATGATAATCTTATTTTTTAAAAACATTATTAGTATTTAATAGATTAGAACACTGGTCTTTTACCAGTAAATATAATGCTGACATGTTCTGAAATAGGTATTACTTATAATTTAGGGCAGTATTCTTCCAATCCTATGTCTAAGTTTTTATATCAAGAACAGACACTAACTTTTAACAACCTCTTATCAATATTTTCTAAATTTTCTAAAGTGTGCTCTGTTTCACACGTTCCTCAAGGTGCTTTGCAATAAAGGGCTTCAATGATCAAAAATGTCTGAAAAACTTTGAATATCATGTTCTCCTTTTAGAGATTTATAATGCATACTAGTATATTAAAGTATTTGGGATGTTCTACAGCTAAGAAACTTGTTAACTTTAACACAGAATTTTTCCAAATTTGGTTGATCATGGAATCTCTTTTTCCCAGTTATCATCTGTCAAGACTAATGCCTTAATTGAAATCTGGGACTTCCCAACTCAGGAATCCTTACCCACTGGATACTGCTATGATGTGAATGAGTCACAGGAGCACACAAAAATACTGATCCTCTCATCTCTCCTGTGGCCAAATGATGTCAGGCAGCTAAAAGCATCTATTCCAGGGCTTCCCAGAAGGAGGTTCAGAGCAGTACAGGATCTGATGGAATGCCCCTTGGTCTGCACAGGTGGCAAGCAAAACAAATGCCATCAGGCACCCACTGCTCCACCTTGCCAAGGTGATCTACCACATGGGATTCTATTTCAGAAGCCAGATCCTGAATGCACCACTGCCCACCATGAACAAGGAACTCAATGGAGCCACTGGAGACTTTCATGTCCCAGATGCCCAAGGAGCATAGTGGGCAACCAGTTGGAATTGAGGGGGCTCATGGCCCTAGGAAGCAGCCCCAAATCCTTATCTTCACATAAGGCAGCTACTTCTGTCCGTCTGCAGCTGACGTGCCCTTCTAGTAGCAGCCAACCTTGCTGCATGGCTTTAATAACATATGTATGTTATATAAATTATATCTTCATCATTATTTTGAAATAATTGATATGAGAAAGTTCAATTGGATTAAAAAAATTTGCATTATCACAAAATTTTCTGTTTTATTTATCAATTAAAGGATGAGTTTTTAGATTCTGTAAATATAGTTCCAACTGTTATAAATTTTTTAATGGTTGAGAAAAATGCTTTTCCATTTTTGCATAAACAGAGTTTCTCACTGGTGGTAAATGATCAAAAATTGAGGAGCTCACATTAAAAAATGTGATCAGGAATTGAGTATAACCATTTATAGCATAAAATCTGATATTAAAAAGTACGCTGGGAAGCAAGCTCAAGTTCTTCATTAAAATTTTTAAACATATTTGGAATTTTTAAATAAATTGATCATTTAAAAATTTCCTAATACTCTGTTTTATTTTTTTGTAAAAATTATAAAGAAAATGCAATGATTTTTTTTCACTAAGTCCCATAGATGCCCCAATCTCTTCCAGTCATTATCCCAGTATGCCCTTCAAATGTTAATTTCCATGTTCATGTTTTGAAATGATGACAGTTGGGAAAGGCCACACTAAGGCAATCATCCCTCTAAGTCCTGTTAAAACCAGCTGCTCATTCTCCTATGGTCTACTATGTCAGGGATTTAAGAGAAAGTTAGCAATATTTTGCTCCCCATTGCTGCTCATAGTCCCTTACTTCTAGCGTGACATATTTTTTCCAAATTCTTTAATTACAAAAAACTTCAGGGGCCGGCCCCGTGGCTTAGCGGTTAAGTGCGCACACTCTGCTACTTGTGGCCTGGGTTCGGATCCTGGGCGTGCACCGACGCACCGCTTCTCCGGCCATGCTGAGGCTGCAACCCACATACAGCAACTAGAAGGATGTGCAACTATGACATACAACTATCTACTGGGGCTTTGGGGAGAAAAAGGAGGAGGATTGGTAATAGATGTTAGCTCAGGGCTGATCTTCCTCAAAAAAAAAAATTTCAAACATATAGAAAAGTTAAAAGCTTAGTATTGTAAACAACTCTATACTCACCACCTGGATTGAACTATTGTTAATATTTCACCATTTTTTGCTTCCTCCCTCTTTCTCTGTCTGTCTCTAAGTAAACTGCAGACATTATGAAACTTCATCCCTAAATAGTTCAGCATGCATCTCCTAGAAATAAAGACATTCTCCTATATAACCCAAATATAATCATGACATCCATAAAACTTAACAAAATTCACCTAATTAGATCATCTAATATCAATATTCAAATTTCTCCAACCATGTCATAATGTCTTTTATAGTTATTTTTTCAACCTAAATTCTAATCAAAGTTTAGGTATTACCTTTGGTTTTTACATTTTTTTGGTCTCTTTTAAACTAGAACAGTTCTCCATCCTTCTCTAATCTCCTGTCCCACCATGAAATTAGCTTGTTGAAGAGATGATGCTATGTGATGTCTTATAAAATGTCCCTCAGTCTGGACTTGTCTGATAGCTTCCTTGTTTCACCCTCATGTTAAAAACTGTTACTCAATTAAGCTTCATTCCTTCAGGACATATCACCTACTCTTTTTCATTGCTGTCTTCTACTGATTCTCTGATCACTTCCTCCAAACTTATCATCCCAACTAATTCAGTTTCTAACAACCCATCCTCACAGTTCTATTTGATCATCATAATGATCAAATAGATGATTTTTTGATTCTACTTATTAAAGACTTCTCAAATCTGTCTCTTTCCTTCTATTTCCATTGCCACTGTTAAATTTAGACCCTCATCACTTCTGGCCTGGATTAATACTGTCACTTCCTGTCTTTGTGCCTTTGGTCTCCTTTCCCTCCCTTCCCATTCCACCCTTCCAACCACAGTCCATGCTTTGCTAGGATAGCCTTTGATCATGTGACACTCCAGTTTTTAAAATCCTTCAATGGTTCCCAAGATCTTAAAAAAAAATTCAGACTCCTTAACCATGCACACAATGCCCTTTATGAACTGGGCCCCTACCTATTTCAAAAATATCATTTCTTAACACTTATCTTATACAGATACTCCAAATTGGAAATCTTTGTAGTTTCTCAATTATGCTTTTTCAGTATCATTGTGATTGACAGTCCTTCTGTATGGACTATTCCTCTCCTTTTTCCTGGCTAACTCCTACTCATCATTCAAGGCAGTTTAAGAGTTACGTATCTTTTGAAAGCTACCCTCATCCTCTTTTTTTTTTTTTTAAAGATTTATTTATTTATTTATTTTCGCCCCAAAGCCCCAGTAGATAGTTGTATGTCATAGTTGCACAGCTTTCTAGTTGCCGTATGTGGGACGCGACCTCAGCGTGGCCGGAGAAGCGGTGCGTCAGTGTGCGCCCGGGATCCGAAACCGGGCCGCCAGCATCAGAGAGCACGCACTTAACCGCTAAGCCACAGGGCCGGCCCCCTCATCCTCTTTTTGAGTTAAGTACCCTCCTGTGTAATCATGGAACATCTATGGACATCTCTATCATAATATTATACCAAACTGTATTGTAGTAGGCCGTTTACCTATTTCTCTCCCCTTCCATACTTGTAAACACCTTGAGAATAACTTTGACAGTGCCTGGAACATAATAAAAACTCAATAAATTATTACCAAATAGTTAACAATTGGATATGAGATAATCCATATCTCATATGGATAGGGACAATCCATAGTGTCTCTTTTTGGTGTTCTGTTGGGTATTGTTATCAGAGTTATATTTATTTCCTTCATGTAATAAAACTGGATGATGTTTATTTTTTTATGTTATAGAACAATTTGTATAATAAGAGAATTATCTGTTCAGTAAGAAATTGGCAAGGAAAGAATTAAGGTAGTATAACAAAATGAGAGACAGTAAAATGTAGTGGTTGACAAATTCAGTAACATATTAAAAGAATTACACATCATGACCAAGTGGGATTTATTCCAGGAATGCAAGATTGGTTCAACATACAAAAATCAAAGTTATATACCATATTAATAGACTGAAGGGGAAAAAAACCCACATGATTATCACAACCGATATAGAAAAAGTATTTGACAAAATTCAACACCCTTTCATGATAATAATATTCAAAAAATTAGGAAAAGAAGGAAACTTCCTCAACATGATAAAGTCCATATATGAAACACCCACAGCTAACATCATATTCAGTGGTGAAAGACAAAGCTTTTCCCCTAAGATCAGGAACAAGACAAGGATGCCTTCTTTTACCACTTCTATTCAACATAGTATTGGATGGTCTAGCTAGAGGATCTGGGCAAGAAAAAGAAGTTAAGGACATCCAAATAGGAAAAGAAGAAGTAAAATAATCTCTGTTCACAGATGACATGATCATATATTTAGAAAACCCTAACATTCCACAAAAACACTGTTAGAGCTAATAAACAAATTCAGCAAAGTTACAGGATATAAAATAAACACATGGAAATCAGTTGCATTTCTATACAATAACAATGAACAATCTGAAAAGGAAATTAAAAAACAATCCATTTACAATAGCATTGAAAAAAATAAAATACTTAGGAATAAACTTAACCAAGGAGGCAAAAGACCTGTAAACTAAAAACTATAAAACATTGCTGAAAAAAATTAAAGAGAACATAAATAAGTAGAAAGATGTGCCATGTTCATGGACTGGAAGACTTAATATTGTTAGAATGATAATACTAACTACTATAGTTTGAATTGTGTCCCTCCCAGTTTCATATTTTGAAGTTCTAATCCCCAGTACCTCAGAATGTGACCTTATTTAGAATAGGATCTTCGCAGTTGTAATCAATAAGTTAAGATAGGGTCAGGGCTGGCCCCACAGCTTAGCAGTTAAATGCGCATACTCCGCTGCTGGCGGACTGCGTTAGGATTCAGGCGCACACCGCCACACCGCTTGTCAGGCCATGCTGAGGTGGCGTCCCACATATAGCAACTAGCAGGATGTATAACTATGACATACAACTTTCTACTGAGGCTTTGGGGAAAAAAAGGAGGAGGATTGGCAATAGATGTTAGCTCGGGGCCAGTCCTCCTCAGCAAAGAGGGGAGGATTGGCATGGATGTTAGCTCAGGGCTGATTTCCTCACCAAAAAAAAAAAAAAAAAGATAGAGTCACACTGGAGTAGGGTGGGCCCCTAATCTTATATGACTAGTGTCCTTATAAAAAGGGGAAATTTGGACCAATAGATATGCACAGAAGGTGAACACCATGTGGAGATGAATGCAGAGATCAGAGCGATGCAGTAGAAGCCAAGGAACACCAAAAATGGCCAGCAACTCACCATAAGCTAGGAGAGGAGCATGGAAGATATACTTCTTCACAGTCCTCAGAAGGAACCAATCTTGCCAGTACCTTGATGTCAGACTTCTAGCCTCCAGAACATGAAACAATAAATTTCTGTTGTTTAAGCCATGCAGTTTATGGTACTTTGTTACAGCAGACCTGGCAAACTAATACACTGCCCAAAGCAATCTAGGGATTCAATGCAATCCTTATCAAGATTCCCAATGGTGATTTTTCAGAAATAGAAAACTCATCCTAAAATTCATATAGAATCTCAAAGGATCCAGAGTAGCCAAAACAATCTTGAAAAAGAACAAAATTGAAGAACTCACACTTCCTGACTTCAAAACTTACTACAAAGCTTCAGTAATCAAAACAATGAGGTACTGGCATAAGGACAGACATATTGACCAATGGAATAGAATAGAAAGCATAGAAATAAACTCTCACATACCTGGTCAATTGATTTTTGGCAAGAATGTCAAGAACATTGAATGAGGAAAAGACAGTCTTTTCAATAAATAGTGCTGGGAAAACCTGGA